AGCCAGTAAAGGATTTGGAGCGTGTCTCATAGGAGGAGCGGCTGAGGGATCTGGGGCTCTTTAGCCTGGAGAAGAGAAGGCTGAGGGGAGACCTTACCACTCTACAACTACCTGAAAGGAAGTTGTAGTGAGGTGAGGGTCGGTCTCTTCTCCTTAGTAACAAGCGATAGAACAAGAGGAAATGGCCTTAAGCTGCACCAGGGGAGGTTCAGGCTGGATATTGGGAAGAATTTCTGTACTGAAAGGGTTGTCAGGCTTTGGAACAGCCTGCCCAGGGAGGTGGTGGAGTCACCATCCCTGGAGGTGTTTAAGAGATGAGTAGATGTTGTACTTAGGGATGTGGTTTAGTGGTGTTGGTAGAGCTAGGACACATGTTGGACTTGATGATCTTGAAGATCTCTTCCAACTGAAACTGTTCTGTGGTTCTATGATTCTAAGAAAACAAAGACCAGTCAGCACCTCCACAAGGATGAAACCAGTAAGGTAGAAAGAAGAGATATAATTCAGTCATATTTTTAAAAGTCTGTGAGCTTTCAGTTTCTTTCCTCAGAAAGGAACAAGCCTTGCTTTTCATCTCTGTCCTAAGATTGATGAGCTTTGCCTGTATGTTGTTCTCTTGCAGTTTTGGCAAGGAGGTTTGCCAGGCCAAGCTGGTTCTTCCCAAGAGTGAGTATTCCTTCATGTGAGCATCCAAAAGCAGGTGCTTCTGCTGCTTCCTCTATGCTGCCTGAGGAACACCATTAGCTATCAGATTTATAAAATGTTAAGACAATGTAGTCTTTGCTCTCAGACAGATTACCTGACTGTGGATCTGAGATTTAAGGTCCATGGTTGAAGACAAACTTGAGAGTCATCAGAGAATCTTAAATAGATAAAATTCTGTGTCTTCATATGTTACCTTCAACATGGATTACACCTCATCTGTCCCATGACTCAAGCAGCCTAATGTGGGTTATTTTAGGAGCTTCTGAATCTAGCAGCCTGATAGAGGTGAGGCTGCTGCAGCTCCATGCTCCCAAGTTCAACCACTATCAAGGCTGAGCATGTATTTCTGGTTGGTGCACACACAAATAATGCATATACATTGCACATACATACACATACACATGGCTGGCTACACAGAACAGCACAGACAGACAATGCTCAGCACTCACACAAATACAAACAGCCTCATCCTGTACCCCTTTCTGGCTGATAAGGGTGAAGGTGTGTTAGTGGGAAACATACATGCACTGTGGATTCGTCCAGCAGCTGCCCCAGGATCCATTGTCTCCCTGCCTGCTGGCACGTAGGCAGGTGAGCCCCTGAGGCCACAGCCCCACTCCAGTTGCTGATGCAGGGCCTCTCTCACACACGCACACGCACAAACACTCACACTGTGAAGCTCTCCAGTAACTGGGATTAGATACACATCTTCACTTTCACTGGCTTGCCTCCCACAAAGATAAGCATACACACACACAAACTCATCTCTCAGTTACCCTCCAGAGTCTACAGTCTCTGTCACTTGATCTGAACCTCTGGTCCCTCTAAAAGCATCCTTAGCCCTGGAGAGACACACAGCTGGCTCCAAAACTCTCTGCTTGCTGGCTAGTCTGGCTTGATAATCAGTAGTGATCATACCCTCAGTTGCTGCTGGCACTCCAGAAACACACACACACAGACACAGAAGTGAGAGCTCCTCATGCAGGAAAACAATTAGAAATAGAATTTAGTGAGAAGATAGGACAGACTGCACTGACAAGGTGCAGGGCATGGACAGAGAACTGTACTGACCTTCTTACATGTGACTGGCACCTTTTATCACCATATTCGCCCTAAATGTCCCCATAATAAATCTTGTGCAATCCCAATATGCTCTTCCCTTGCCTTCCATAATGTGTCCCATACCACCTAGGCGGTAACACCCTCAGTTTATAAGGTGACTGGTTTATAAACCTCCCAAGCTGACTCACTAGGTTTGTTCCACACCTGGCCAATGAGGCCAGTTGCTCTCCTGTGACAGCCCTGGGAGAGGCTGGGGCAGCAGATCTGTTTCTCAGATGGTATTACTGGGGCTCCCCTGTTCCAGTGTGCAGATGAGCCTTTGATGGGCTGATCATTCTCTAGTGATGGCTCTGGGTGTAGTTCTGTCAGAGTATTGTTCAGGTTGCTCTGCCTGCCATTGTTGCTCTCTGCTTCTTTGTATGGAGACACACTTCTTATCACATACCTAACAGGAGCAATTTGAGCCAACTTAAGGAGAAGCAGCTGGAAGGGAGTATGTTCTTCACCCAAGCTCTGTGTTGTTGCTGTCTTGTGGTGCTACAGCTGATGTTTGTGTTTTTTCAATAAAGACATACTGTTAAAGTACTTTTTGGGGAAAAATGGCTAGTAAAAGAAGGGAAGCCATCCTTGGAGAAATAAAAAGATTTTATGCCTTTTGCTTGAAAGTGAATGAGGAAGTATCAATGTGAGAGGTTCTTTTAGAAGCTTGAAGTATCTGCCATCCCTGATATCAGATGATGTCTCCAGATCCCGATTTTTCTTACAGTGGTGTTAAAATGGAGCTGAGCTGTCTTGAAAGCTAGATTCAGTTGTGGGTGTTGAACATCTCTGAATCTGGACCTAAAAGTCTCAGAGGCATCCAGCCCAGCGTATATCCACTTGTATAAATTTAAATCTATCTGTGGTTGAAAGGAAGGGATAAACAAATGGGCCCCAGTGTATTAACAGGCTGATAAAGATCTCTGAATAAGAAGTCTGGAGGGAGAGCCTGCTGAGCACCTGCAGGGAAACCTTATTCAGTCTGGTCCTGGCCCCTTACTGGTTTTTGACTCTCTTCGTCACCTGCCTACACAGAAAGATAATTTCCCAAAGATGCTTATACCACTTTCTCTCTCAAGAGAAATAATTGATCTAATTTGTGCAGTTGGCCAAGAATCTTTGTTTTGGTTTGGTTTGGTTTTTTGTTAACCATTTCTCTTTGTGTACTTCTGTAGCGTGAAACCTTTTTCTCAACAACCTTATGCTGTACAGCCTCCACTGCCATTACCAGGTAGGTAAGGAAATGTAGTTCCTTGCTTTGAAATTATAGTCTAACTTCAAAAATAGCCAACACTTTAAAAAACATTTTTACCAATCGAAACATTATTTCCCCTTTTCACCCATTCCCATCCTTTTACTGAGAGAGCTGAAGCTTTTAAATTTTGTTTTATTTTAAAAAACATTTTTTTCCTGTTTTAGGTTGGTTGCTTTGGGGTTTCTTTTCCTCCTGGCTCAGCAGAAAATAAAAGTTTACGTATCTCTACCGTTCTTCCACCACGCTGTGTGTACTAGAACACTGTTTTCCATCATAACATGATTGCCTTCCCAATTTCTCGTTAAGTGGAATAACAAATGTCTTTTCCTTCTCAGTTTGTCCATTTTGAAAGGTTAATGGTCATGCTTTATTCTGATACTAAAGCAGTTTATTTCACTGCTCATTTATGGCTCAATCTAGGTCCTTTTAAAGTTGATTAACATGTTCTTTTCTGATGTAAGAAATAGGTAGATTGCCTTTTACATCATTACCAACCCTAACAGTGCTATCTTAGCAGAAGGTAATTGACAAGCCATTTAGATGACAAGTAGAGTGAGGACCTTGTGAATGATATTTTTGCATGATGATTGAAATCATAAGAAAATGTAATTAGTCAGCTTTGACAACAGGTGCTCTACTGGAAAGCTATTACCAACTTTTCTCTTTCTGAATTTTGTTATATAAATCCTGTGTGCTTAGGGTTTGAGTCTCCTACTGGCCTCTCACCTTCCCCATCAGCACCAGCTTGGCAAGGACGAAGGGTTGCTAGCTCCAAACTTTGGATGTTAGAATTCTCTGCATTCTTGGAACAACAACAAGACCAAGACACTGTAAGATACACACCTGACTCCCACTCCTCATTAATTTTTGGTCTTCAAGTAGCTTCTGTTCATCATGGATATGTTATACTACTCTATGTATATAGAAATACTTGCTTCTTTGCTCTAATGAGAATAGAAAGTCATCTTTGGGAAACGCAAGATATCCTTCTCTTAGAGGACAGAATTCCCTATAGCAATATAGCCAGCTCTGTGCCTTGTGCTTCTGGCCTCCCTTTCCAGGGTCATGGATGTTCACGTACCAGAGCACAAGGCACTGAGGTCGTAAGGCAGTGGTACAGCTCCTGCCGGGCTGTTCTAGCTATCCCATTCAGCCTTGGAGGATAGACCCAGAATCAGACAATTGTAAGATCACATGAAGCCATGTATTTCTCTGGTGTGCTGAGAACTTAAATTTGGGGGCAACTGGGATGAATTTGCATCAATGTGTTTCCATGGTGCCACCTATAAAATGGAAGTAGTAAGATTTGCCTGTCTCACTAACCTTGTGATACTGCATCCTGAGATGTACATTGGTGGTGTGCCATTTCCTCTGTCTGAGATAGGAAAGTTCAGAAAATTTGGCTGGTACCATGCTGTGGGATTTCAGGCAGCTGTTCATAGGACAGGAGCATTGATGTTTGACTGAGTGACCTGTGACAGGTAACACTGTATCTTGCGTTATTTCAAACTATATAGCAGCAGCATGAGGAAATGGTTTAGGAGTGAATATAAGGAAAAAAACAACATTAATGTTTCAGTAGAAGTAAGAAGCATGGATGTATTGACAGGAAAAAAAGAACAGCCTGAGCTGGTGTTAGCAGGGATATTTCTGCTAATACTTCTGCTTTTTTAGAAAGTGCGATCAAATCTTCAGTGACTTCCAGTAGTCTTCTGTGAAGAACAATGAATGTTCAGTATGTACTGAATGGTACTGAATGATCTCCTAATTCCGTGTTTTATCTTTTCTTGCAGTATAACAAACACCTGTTTGTGCACATTGGGCAGTCAAGCCCCAGCTACAATGACCCCTACCTCGAGGCAGTGGATATCCGACAGATCTATGACAAGTTCCCTGAGAAAAAAGGGGGCCTCAAGGAGCTCTTTGAAAGGGGGCCAGCTAATGCCTTCTTCCTTGTCAAATTCTGGGTAAGGGAAGAACTGTTTGTAAGGTACTCATTTGCCTTGAAGTTCTTACTTGAAAAGCAGTGGCGTCGCTAGCTATTAGAAGACTGCTGCCTCCCAAGAAATTTTCCTGTGCAGGCAACTTAATACAGCCACGACTGTCACTGGAGATTTCTTTGACTGCATAAGACAGTCATTATGGCCTGGAGCAATGTCGTCTGTAGAGTTGTTCTTGAATAGTGTCTGGAGATTTTATTTGCTAATGGTGACTTGGGCCCTTTAAAATTTTTATTTATTTGTAAAAGAAGAATTCAGAGGAAATTATTCTCTGCGTACTCTTACATGTTCACTCCTCTCAGTGTGGAGTAACTTCTCAGTCAGAGGCAACATTTTTCCATCTCTTCTCCTATCTCATTAGTTGCATTTTGTGTTATCCAAGTACTAATAATTTACAAATGCATATTTACTGCAGGCACAAGGACAGACAAAAGATAAGAGAGACATATAATGAAATTGGATTATGCTGATTAATATATTACTGAAATGACTTCTGGTAAGTTGGCAGAAATCAGCCTGGCAAAAGCCTACTCACTCAATTTGGATTTTTGTGAGTTAGCTGAAATTTGCAAAAATCTGTGCCATTCTGCTTCAGAGTATATACAAAATAGTTTTGGTGATCAATATTATCATAGGTATTTAAATTTAAAAGATTAAAAATAATAGCCGCTTGGGGCCGTTGCACGCTAGATGGCTGAAGGAATGTGTAATGGGATGTGGAGCCTTTCACCTTGAATTTTCCACTTACAATTCAGCTGCAGGTTAGGAGTGAGATGATGAGAAATGAGCTTTCATATCTCGTACTCTTCATACAAACTAGCACTAGAAAGCCTCTTAACTGGAGAGAAGGAAGAGTTAACTTTCAGGAGAAGGAAGAGTTAACTTAAGTGCCTTGAGGTGCAACTTCCCAGCTGTCCCAAGCCTAGCCTTTCCAGAACTGAGCTGTTGAATGTTGGCTGGTAGTCTGCTGTTTAAGTGTCTGGTGCTTAGAGCATTAGTTGCTGGTGATTCTTGGAGAAAAACAATTTTACTGCCCACAGACTGTGTGCTACTGAGCTGGGCCCCTCATGGGATTAGCCTCTGTCAGAATACAACAAAGCCTGCTTGGAAAGGTTGAAACAGAAAACGAAAGACCAGCCCTGTTCTGGGTGGAAGAGAAATACTTGGGAGACACAGCAGCACCTTGCTGAGAAAGATATCCTTTGACAAAGTCTGTGTAGTGATTGCCCTACTAAGAACTATCTGGAAAAAGAAACAGAAGTGTGATGTGACAAAAGAAAGTAAAAAAAATAAGAGGGGCTAGCTTCTAAGAAATGGTCCTTGGAAAAGTAGGAGCTGTGGGAGCTGCTTCCTGCTGTGGGGTAGGGATCCCAGGAAACTCTTCATATCTAGGTGAAGAGCAGTGGCTCCTGTGTGGTATCAGTCTGAAGTGCTTTGGAAGTTTTCAGGAACCAAAAGGAAGAGCTTAGAGGGAGACGTTATGTAGAGAGAATAAAACACTTGGAATTCCATGACTTAAGGAGAGAGAAATCGTAATGAAATTGTGATCTAGTGCAACTGTGATTTTATTTATCAAAACTGTTAGTGTGCTTTTGTGCTTGTGGGGTTGGGTTTGGTGATTGTGTTTGTTTTTTAATATCAGAAGGATAAATGTGGCCTAGGCATCATGTCAGACCAACCTAAGCTAGGCCTTTGAAGGATTTACGTAGTGGGATGTCAATAAGTTGGACTCTTTCTGGGCCCACATGAAGTGACTGGTGTTCAGACGGTATCAGCTCACTGAAATTTGGCTTGCATAAAGAGATGTGACATAAGATTTGAAACACATTTAGTACAATGTATACATGATGTCCTGGGCCTCTGCATCTGTACACTTATAATGACGGTGATATTTCTGGGCTTGGTTTAGTATTTTGACTTTCTGATTCTTTTTTTTGGTACCCTTGCGTTGTTGAATCCCATCTGGAGTTAACATCAGGTTTTATTGATGGAAACATTACATGCTGTCACTTACAAATAAGCTGAGTTTACAAGTCAAGTCATTGATTGAATGGAAGCTTCTAAGGCTTTTAAGAAGTAAATAGTTTGGTCTTGTATTTTTTTTCTCAGTGTAGACAGTAGTAGGGGATGAAAACACCATTCCTGATGCCGTATTCTGGACGAGAAAGGATTAGGGCACTTTTATGATTTGCGCTGTGTTTCACAGGAGTACTTACATTAATCCTGTTGTAAGATTTCAGCTAGGATCTCTAAGGCAATACAACTGAAGCAGTTAGAAAGAAATTTCTGTTCCATAAAATTTGGACATTTTGAGGAAAACTCCAAACCTTTTTGTTGCAAAACTTTGTATTCAACATGCCTGAAATACTGTGGTAATACAGTCTTACACTTAAACAAAGCACGTGAGCTGTGCCTGTAATGTACTGTGCTACATGTGTCATAGGATTTCCTGAGTTTGATGTATTGCAATAGATGTGTGTAGTGCAACCCCCTCCCCAATAAACACTTTGCTCAGGAAAGGCAATGTGATTTAAGAAAACAGTTTAACAGAAGAAAACTAGATTTCAGCTGAGATTTTTATACCCCTCCTCATTTTTATACCTCTGTAACAATACATGCTAGGGTGCTTTTTCATTTTGCTGCCTGATTGCTCTGGACAGCTATACAAATACACTGTTGGTGACCAAAGATGTGTTGGATAAAGCAATTAGTACACTGTTGAATTTACAGCATCACTTCAGGATAAAAGTGTTATCCAAAAGTAGATTACTGATAACCTTAACCTTGATGAGTAGAGTTAAATACTTGAAGGGGTGTTTTAAGGCATGAAGATATGATTGATTTTTCAAAGATTCTGAATTGCAGTCATGGTTGCAGGTGATAAAGACTTAAAAAACCAAGACATTGAATAAGTTGGTTTTGTATACATGTAGTTTTAGGCTTGAAGAACCTGAGGCAGGAACCTGCCATTACTGCACTAAGCATTGAATATATCAGATAATCTATTGTGTGCCAGAAGCCTAACATTAAACACCAGGGTTGGGGTTTCTTGACATCACTGATAACACTTAGGATGTAGTGTGACTGAGAAGGAGATGTTCATGTTTGTTCAATGGTGCTTTAAATTATTTATACAATAGCTAAAAGTTGATTAGTTTGAAACAGAAGAGTGTTTGCAATTCTTCCTTTATTTTGGCATTGGGAGTTTGGTACAATGAATTAACTCTTGGATTTGGATTGGCAGGTTGTGTATGACATCTGTGTGACATTTCTCTGTGCTCCAAGTGCATTCTAGTGCACGACAATGAATGTAAGATGTTAGCCTCCCCCCACATGGGCAGTGGAAGCTCTGCTCTTTTGCAGTGTAATATTATCTCTACCACCTGTTACTTGAACCCCATGAACTCCTCCTATATGCATCATTATTAATAGTTTGGGGAAGAGGCGTTTTCAGGGCTTTGCACATTAGTATAATGGTGCACTTGCATCTTAAATAATTCAGAAGTTGTGAGACTCTGGTACTTGCAGAATTTGTGAGACTCTGGATGGAAAACAGAAGGAAAGTGACAAACCAGGAATTCAGGACGGGCAGTGCTTTGTCCAGAGCAGCCATCTGCAGAGGGGTAGATCAGGGGAATTGCTTGGGAGACCTTTGCTGTCGATGATGAATACATGTAGTAATTTGTTCTCCTTGGTGATAGGCAAGCTGAACCAGTCAAATCACTGAGTGTTTTCTTTCCAATAAATGAGTTATACTTTGGTGGAAGGTGTTGAAGAGATGGGCTGGAGACTGCCATCCTGCACTTGGATTCTCTCATGTCCCGAGCAAATCCAGTCAAAACAGCAGCAGTGCAAATTCCCTGTGGCACCATGCCCTGCCCACTGTATGCCTTCAATCCTGACCGGGCAGAAACTACTTGGAGAGTGAGATGGTAATTTGATCACCATGTCCATTCTGTCCTTAGCACTCCTTCTGAGGCAGCAAACAAGACAGCAGCGAGTAACAGAGATTTTTATGATCTTTGCACATTTGTTCTGAGAATGGATCTGACAGCCCATTAATTCAACCTGCAGTCACCAGCACCACTTCCTACAGTTGCTACCTTATGTAAGGGGACTCTGTCAATGGCATTTTCCCCACAGTGTTCAAAAGTATAGAAATTATTGGCAGCAAAAAGCAGATTGAAATACTGAATTGCTGAATCTGTCTGCTGGGTGTCAAAATAACACAATCCTGGTGGGCTAGCTAAGTTGCAGCTACCTGTACTGTTGGCAAGGCCCTCTGCTCTTTGCCTAGCTCAGAAACTACCCTCCCGCCTTTCTTAGAGGCTGAAACTGCTGCAGTGGCACAAGTTTTGGACTGTTCTTAAAGAATTGTTCAGCATATGCCTTTGCATTGACCATGTGGTACCTGTGTGTAAGACATTGACAAGCTATGGTTTCTCATGGCATCTAATGCCATTTGGACTCTTCCAATCATTGTTTTTCAAAGCCTCAGATAAGCTGAAGACTGGTTCTCAAAGGTCACATTTCCCTCTGTGAAGAGTTTCAGAGAAATTTTGATTCATAGATTCATCCTAGTGGGAATGAGGCCTTTTTCGGTAATCAGTTGTGAAACTCCCTCTCATTGAAGGTAAGATACGACTTTTCTGTACATGTTTCTTCCTTGAGGCTGCAGAAGTTGAGTGATACAATCAAGCTTGTCAGAGCTGTTTTCAGCAGAGATGCTAAGAGACTCAGACCAGCAATATGATTTTTTTTTAAATAAAAAAAGTTAAGTAGTACTAGCTTGTTGTAGGTTACTGTGCCCTTCTCTGAACAAATCCCTTCCTTTCCATCTTGTCTTGTAGGTATTTAAAGATTCTGCTGACTTCTCTGGAAAGGAGGAAGTCTCAGATGTTTCCCCCAGAACAGGCAGATCAGCTCTCTTGCATGCAATATGTAGATCTGTGACATGTGCTAGATCA